GTGCCAGGGGTGCCACTGGGTTTGTGGATGGAGAACTTCTCCCTTAGGTGGGGAGCAACTCAGATATCCTGTGACCTGGGACAAAGGCTCAATCTTCACCCACTGCCTATGATGTCGGATCGATTTTCATTTGTATACCAACTGCAGATGCTAATTAGACTGTAAGGAAAGATCTGAAACAAGACCCAACAGTTGAACAGAACTCTGGCCGGCACACGATATTAATCAGCTGAGATCATCAAGGTAAAGTATTGGAAGTCTTCATTGAACAAATTAATACAAAGTAATTGCTGTGCTGGCACTTGTAAGATCGGGGTTTCCACACTGAAATATGAATGAACCGTAATCACCTGTCAGTCGCTTCTGATCTCCTTAGGGACTGATCCTGGGTGGTCTCCATGCTGTGAGTTGCTTCCAATGTAACATAATATCCAGAGACCAGAGTGCCTCTACAGACCCTGTGTATGCATGTGGCCGGCGAGGTGATGGGTTGATAGGGAAAGCCATGCGTGCTGATGACTATGAAAAGGGTTAATCTACTTGTTTTGAGGAAGACAAAACCATGTAGATTAACAGTTGGGAAACCTTTCCCCAACAACCTCCACCCGCCAACAAATGGGCCACCATAAGGCAAATGCTACACATTAACACACATCCTTTTCGTACACCTTAAAGGATCAGGGACCTTGTTTGCAGACAGTGAGGTGCACATTTTGGACAGAGAGGACAACTGGTTTGCAAAGAAAACCTGTTTGCGTGAAAGAGGCCATCTATGTCAAAATGGAACCACCGTCCCTGAACAGGGGTGGGGTGGAGGCCTTGACACCATCTGCCTTCCACATATAATGCCTTTTTAACAGATCCATACCGGCACCATGAGAACGTTTCACACCTTCGGCCATATACGTTGAAGGATAAACACCTATGCAGACACCAGGGATGGTTGTACCTAGAACAGGGGGGCTCCGAGATTTTCAGACCTCCCATCCCATTCTTTGACAATCATCTACCTTGATACATTCCATGGGTATGTTCCTGACACTCATAACTGAAGTGGCTTGGATAAAAGGTCTTCTACATTACAGAGCTAGCTGAATGTGAGTACCAACACTACTAGCTTTCAGAAGTCAGAAGGTCCACAGTTTCTCATCTCACATTTAGTTTACTAATTGGTATAGGGATGCATCAATACTGTACTACTATCGGTGCCGATACCAAGTATTTGGGCGAGTACTACGATACCTTCCCAGATACCAGAACTTCTGGTCAGAGGAAGATTTCCTCTGACCGGCAGAGCCGTAGGGGAATATGGAGCCGGTTTCCAAAGCAATCAGGAAGCCGGGCGGTGAGTAATGACCTGGCTCTCGGCTCCATGATTGGCCAATCACAATCGAGCCGGCCAAACATGGAGCTGGCTTCCTGTGAAATCAGCATGGAGCTGGCCGAACCGCCGGCTCGATGATGATTTGCTGGAAAGTCTGTTTCCCAGCCAAGCAGCATGGAGCCAGCTTTCCAGCCAATCAGGAAGTCGGGTCATTACTTGTGGCTTCCAGGGAAATCAGGAAGCCGGGCTGCATGTCATTACACGCCACCGGGCTGTCACTTTAAACGGGCCAAGCAATGGTTCATCTTTCATTTTAAAGTGCCATTTATGTATTTGTTTTTAGTACCTTTACAACTCAAACAAATATTTTTGTTAATAGTTAAGTAGTCACCGCTCCAAAACTAACTCCTGGGATGGACTACAATCTGTATTACACATGAGTAAACTAAACATGAGATTGTAATCCATCCTGGGAGTAGGCTTGGAGCGGTGACTACTTTACAGCACACACAGGGACCATGGGCAACAAAAGTAGCCCCCCCTCCAGAAGGAAGGACTGTGTCAGCACCAATTCAGATATGATTGGAGGATCTACAGCCGAGTGATACACAAATTAGATACATTTTTGGTAATAGTTAAAGGTATTTGAATGTATTTTTAAGATCCAAGTCCTAAGTTTAGTTTCATTTAAAGTCATTCAGAAAGTACACATTATCCCCAGCCCGTGGAAGTCCACATCTAACCGAAACACACCTTTAAAAAGTACAATCAGCAGATACACAAAGACAGAAAAACAGCACATATTTTCTTGTTAAGTTTATTGGCATCATTGTCATCTTTACAGAAGAGTCCAGCCTACGCAGTATTATGTAGACTGCCCGGG